ACCGATGATTCGGGCAATAGACAAGAAAAAGAACTGCAAATCACTGCTCCACCCAATAACTTCTTTCATGAAAAAAGAACTTTTGAAGAATATTACCAGATAAACAGATTGGTAGGTCAGTTCAGCCCCATATAAAGAAGTCTAGCACTCCCATTCATTCTCATACACCATGACAGCAAAGGAAACAGTGAGCTCTTCCACCCAAATGTGATAGGGGATAGAGGAATCCGAGCTAATAACCCTGTGATGGGAGCTTTATCTTGATATGGGCTGATCTGCGGCTAATCCAAACCCACAACAGTTAAGTTTTTATGGTCGAGTTCTCATTAGATATTCTCATCCGACCTACTTCCCAATCAAATCAATAGAAGATGATCCCCAATATAAGAGGGTTGAGCAAATCTTCAGCTCTGTTTTTAAATGTACATAATGCAAAGATGTTTAATCCAGCATAAGCGATTGACATGTGCATATGTCCATGGCATGAATATTCTAAATACAGAAAGGGTGTTATTCATTTTCGTCAGAGGACCAGGCTAAACCGGACCTTTTGTAGTAGTATAGTAATAGTAATAAACAAGTAGAGTAATGGAAGTTCCGAAGTATGTCATTTGTCGGCTCCGGATTAGAACGCTAATCGATAGAGCAATCAAATGGAAAAGGTTCCTGACCCAAAATAGTCACGAAAAAAGAAAAGGGCCTCTGTCTGACGCATTCAGATGCATCGAGTATCTGTGGAGCAAGGTGCTTATCCAATGCGATCAGTTGCTTTGTCTGTATCACGAGAAAAAAGTAAATGTTGCCATAAAATGAAGTATTGCTCCCCAAAGGCTCCTTTAGAGAGAGGAGCACTAATCATGTTTCCAGAGTACATTCGACTCAACGTCTCAAACAACGTTCATCAGTGTACATTTCATTGCAAAAGGCTCAACTCGACAGCTATCCATCCCTTGAAATCACAAATGCACTATTAGCACGGAACACGATGAGAGAGAAAACGAGCAAACAGTGGCCTTTTAATGAATAGTTATTCTCGCACGCTCATGTGGCAGAGCTTGATGAGAATAAAAAGGCAGACTGGGATTTGATCGATTTCCAAGGGAGAGGAAACTAGTACAACTACGGTAGGAATAAATTACTTTCTAGCTCAACTGCGCTCAATTCCCAACAGAGAAATTGTAAAAACCTGGAAGTTGAAGTCCTACCTTCACACAATCCACAATACTGCTGAGCGACTTTTCTAGTTTTGACGGCGTCCATACAGCAATAATTTGTGAGAGAAGATCTTGTACAGACCTCAAAACTTGCCAAATAATCTCATACATAAGAATCGAGAAAAGGGTATTGAAAAGGGAGACTCACTTCCGTATTTCCTTGGATTTTGAGGATGCATAGGAGAGTACGATAGGTATGATTTTTGGATGCTCTACGTACTGAAAAAAAAAACAGTCAGAGCACCTTATTTCAAGGCGAAACTCGAATACCAAGACCGTGATGAAAAGTTGGGGAATTTACCACTAAACATCAAAAAAAAAATCCCAATGAAAGCATTTCCGCTAACCTTGACTATGAAGTAACAAGCGTTAACTCCAGATGACGACATAATCTTCGCACTGTTCTGAATTAGGGAGATCGTAGCTGGTAGAAGTGCTTCGCATAACCGTGAAATAGGTGCTTCCAGCTTCTCACAAAGAAAACTAAACATAATGAATCACATGACAGGTGCACTACAGATCGGCAGCTGATTTAATAAGGGTATCAAGTAGCAATGTCAACAAACCCCAAGAAAACACTAAAACATTTTGATGCCCCAAAAATAGAGAACGTAAACAGTAGCTATGAGTGCGCTAGAAATACTATACCCGGCAATACGCGTGATATATAAAAAAGACAGGCTCACCTAACAGTTATGCATGCCTCTCGACATACTTGCGATCGAAGGTCTTTTATCGAGGTTATCAGAGCATCTTCCAGGGAGTGAACGCCATTCAATA